CAAAGACCAGATAATAGTTTAATGGAGACTGATACTGTACAAAGACCAGATAATAGTTTAATGGAGACTGATACTGTACAAAGACCAGATAATAGTTTAACCTAGACTGATACTGTACAATTACCAGATAATAGTTTAACCTAGACTGATACTGTTCAAAGACCAAATAATAGTTTAATGGAGACTGATACTGTACAAAGACCAGATAATAGTTTAACTTGTACTGATACTGTACAAAGACCAGATATAGTTTAACTTGACTGATACTGTACAAAGACCAGATAATAGTTTAACTTAGAGTGATACTGTACAAAGACCAGATAATAGTTTAACTTAGACTGATACTGTACAAAGACCAGATAATAGTTTAACCTAGACTGATACTGTACAAAGACCAGATAATAGTTTAACTTGTACTGATACTGTACAAAGACCAGATAATAGTTTAACCTCGACTGATACTGTACAAAGACCAGATAATAGTTTAACTTGTACTGATACTGTACAAAGACCAGATAATAGTTTAACTTAGAGTGATACTGTACAAAGACTAGATAATAGTTTCCTTATTTTATGTTACACATTTAATGTCTTAAACTATTAGGTGTTAGTTTATTAATTTATATTGACCAAGTTATGTTATTAAGAATTATTTAATATAAATTTTAATTTTTCAACAGGAACTTAATGAAGAAATAGCCGACCATCACACTCAAATTGACAGTTTGATTTCCTCGGCACATGAAATTATGAAACATGCCTCAGGTATATTTTTGAAATTGTTTCTAGTTTTTGAAACATGTCTCTGGTATATTGTTGAAATTGTTGCTAGTTTTTGAAATATGTCTCTGGTATGTTGTTGAAACTGTTTCTAGTTTTTGAAACATGCCTCTGGTATATTTTTGATATTGTTTCTAGTTTTTGAAAAAGTCTCTGGTATATTGTTGAAATTGTTTCTAGTTTTTGAAACATGCCTCAGGTATATTTTTGACATTGTTTCTAGTTTTTGAAACATGCCTCTGGTATATTGTTG